ATGTACATTATGTATACAAATAACTGTGCATTTGTGAATAAATATCATATGCCTTGTACTATAAAGGAGGTTCAATATATTTTGAAAGCTTTATATGCTGTTTATGTACCTATAAACACCATGTTTGCAGTGTACGCCTTTATATTGTAAACTAATAAATTATAAATTTTAGAAAATTAAAAAAAAAAGCAAGCCAAAATGCCAAGTGTTCTGGGAAACAGGTCTTCAGTGCCCTGCCTCCAATGCTGCATTCAGACTGTAAATTTTGTTCAAAACAGCACTGAAGGGTCTGCCATGTTGATGCTCTGATAGTGGTTTGCACAAAGTCCTAGTATTTTTTGTTGTTATTGCTGATCTCCTTCATTTCAGCTGACTGTTCAGGTACTAACTCTTGTTGAACTATGTGTTCCTGGCTGACAAGGTTCCTGCCTTGTCTGCTTGTGCTAGAACTACCGCCTGCTTGATGCTGTACAGGTGCATAATGAAGCCGGAGCAAATAAGGAATGTTCCTCTGTCCATGCTCTGAGATATGACCATTACTTCTGAAAGTTTCCTTTCTTTTAAAAATTTTTATTAGTATGTGTGTATGTGTGTGTGTGTTGGGGGGGTATATGTGCCACTGTGCACATGTGGAAGTCAGAGGACAACTTTGTATAGTCAGTTCTCTCCCTCTCCCTTGATTCTGGGGATTGAACTCAGGTTATCAGGCTTTTGTTGCAAATGACTTTACCCACTGAGTCATCTTCCTGGTCCTTGGAAGTTTTGTTAAAGGACTTTTTTAAAACAACAACAACAAAACAAGATAATTCCAAGAGTTTTTGCTTTAATAATTGAAATAAAAGAAATATAAGAGATCATTGTGCAATGAAAGCACATGTTTATTTTTGCAGCTGTTTAGTGAAAAAATAAGTGGTGCTGAAGGAACAAAACTGGATGATGAATTTCTGGACATGGAAAGGGTAAGAATATTTTAACATCTAAACTATTAGAAATGAACTCTTTGCAGTATGACATAACCTCTTCTGTAAAGGGTATTTGTTGGCGTGGAAAGACAAGATTTTAAAATACAGATATGTGCTCTACAATCCAGAAGGCAGAACCTTCAGGTTTCCAAACCCATGTCAGGCCCTGTGCTGAATTCCATCTAGTCTGGGCAGGAAGAAAATGGGATGTAACTAACTGTTCCCTCTAGTGGCCAGAAGTCAGAATGCACAAAGGTGGGCCGTGTTGGCAGTAGTGCCAAGGCCAAAGTAATTGTGGTCATATGTTTCAGAGAGTCAAAATGTGTTTCTGGATAAGGCTTTTCCGATATATAACAACTGATTTATACTGTGGCAAATTAGGATGCTTTCCCCATGTGTTTCAGCAGCTGCACAGCAAATAACCTTTTGCCATTAGCTCTAGCAGGGTTAACAAACTAGCTATTTTATGTTTTTGGGTTTTTTCTTCCAACTGTGATACAAAGATGATAATGTGTGCTCTGCCAACCTCACATGGAGAATATGGGAATTATAGATGCATCTGAGGTAATTTAGAAAGTATTGCCAGCTGGGCAGGATTCACTGTAACATGCTCCAAGGGAGGATTGGGCTCTATCTCTTGCTCTGTCGCCCGGTCACCTGTGTGGAGCAGCAAGTAGCTTCAGGGCAGCCAGGAACCAGTAATTACAAGCTTCCTCAGTTTCCTCCCTCTTTGTCTTGGGCCCTTTGGACCAGCCTTATTCTAATAGATTCCTCAGACCAGAGAGGGAGGAGATACAGCAGAGTTTATGCCCTTGGGTGTCAGGTGAAGCCTGGGTGTGGGGGCCTGTGCCAGCTGCTGGGGAAGGAAGTCCAACCCCAGGCTGTGACCTGGGAGAGTATTCTCTTTAACATACCTTGGCTCTGGCCAGCTTTCCTTCAGGAAGTTCCTGGTTTTCTGCCCCAGAAATACTATTTCTAGAAATGTTAGTACTTTGAGAGGAAAGATTATTTTGTTTTTGATTTAGAAAAAAGATTAATTTCTGCAGATTGAAAGCCATGCAAACACTTTCACATCATTGACAGGCCTGGAATTATTTTTAAAAGCTCTTAATATACAGGGATAGGAATAGTAGCCTCTTCACCAACAAAATGATTCAATTAAAATATTAAATTTAAAAACATATGTCAGGAATTATGTTATCAGAGTTTTTAGGCTCAAAGTCTGAGCCTTGACAGTCCTAACAAGCTAGACTCAGCCACCTGTCACCCATGCACCAATTAATCATTATTTTCAATATTTATTATTTTTATTTTATGTGTATGAGTGTATTGCTCACAGAGGTCAGATGAGGGCGTTGGATTCCCTAGAACTGAGGTTTCAGAAGGTTGTTGTTGGCCACCATGTGGGTACTGGGAACTGAACCTGGGTCCTCTGGAAGAGCAGCCAGTGCTCTTAACCACTGAACCATCTTTCTAGCCCCTAAAGAGACAAGTTATGGTGAAAAGCAGGAAAAGGAGACTTAATGTGGCTATAGTGGGAAAAGGAACTCATAGAATTCCAGTGACCTCCCCTGTGACTTGAGGTTTACATTTAAACAGAAGGGACATGTATCACCAAGCAGTACTGGTCAGAGCTTGGCCCCTATCATGACACTCTCCTTTCTAGTTTCCCCTGCAAGATGGTCCTTGTTGTCAGAACTGTGTGAAATCTCTTCCTGGGAGATGAACTGCTCCTTTGACTATCACCAGGACATCACCATTGTTTCCCCATAGCATGAGATTCCTACAGGAAATTCCAGTTCTCCAGGTCCGTTGCTTCAACATTCTGATAACCAACAGGCGGGACAGGAGTGTCTTCCTTGAGAGCATCTTCACTCCTACCAGGACAGTCGTAGTTATAGTTTTAGCTAATGGACTGAGATCTCTCTTGGTTACTCCCTTTTTCCTCTCCCAAAATCCCAGAGAGTAACAGAAGTATAAAAGATAAAATCTATGATCTGCTTGTTACAGCACAGAAAAGTGTGCTAATATGTATTACCATGTGACTAAGAACTAACTTTACAGACTTTTCAGAAGAGATTAGCCTCACCTAAAACATGACACAGAAATTACAAAGTATATGAAAAAATAATGCATGGCACATGCCATAACTGCACAGCAGTGCCATAACTAAAGGAGTGATGGTTACATTAAAGTTCTGCTTGGTACCTAAAACACTAAGTGGAAAAAGAACTTTTCTAAAAAGTTACAGAGATGAAGTCAATATAGTTTATCAGCAAATTATAGTATTATAAATAATTTTGTGCCACATGACTTACAATCTAAATTTGTAAGGTAAAAGCTGGTAGAGATACATGGGGAACTGACTAAAGTCAGTACAGAGACTTCAACCACCTCTCTCAGAAAGTGACAGATAAAGCTGGTTATTCTCAATAGGTTCATGGAAAGTTTGAATAAAATATCATTAGTAACTTTGATTGTAAGTAAATATAGACTGCATTCCTCAAATTTAAAAAGTGCTTTTTTTTTCCTTTTTTTTTTAAGATAGGGTCTTTCTGTAGCCCCAGCTGGTCTGGAACTTACTATATAGATCAGACTAGCCTCAAACCTCAGAGATCCCCCTGCCTCTGCCACCCACTGCTAGGATTAAAGGTATGTGCCACCACACCTAATATTTTTTTTTGTGGGGGGGGGTTGAGACAGGGTGTCACAATATATCTTTGGTTGGCCTGGAATTCGCTGTGTACACAGCAAGCTAATTTTGAATTCATAGAGATCTGCCTGCTTCTGCCTCCCAAGTGCTGGGATTAAAGAGATGAGCCATCATGCCAGGGAAAATGTACATTCTTTTCAAGTTCTTTAGATACAGTTAAGGTAATCAGTCATGTATTTGGCTACAGGAAAAAAAAAAAAAAATCCCAAAGTAAAATTGTAGAATGCAAGAATCACAAGGAAGATACAGCCTCCAAATTCTGAATGTTTAGAAATTCAAAAATGTGAAATTACTTCTTAATTTGAGGAGGAAAGGAAAGGTAGAATTAAGGGTTAGTCACAGGTGACAGAATTCTACTGTGATATGGTTAAATCTCAAGTGCAGTTAATAGGAAATTATTGAGGGGAGAAAGTGAACACATCTTGAAGCCTAAAAGTTAGGAAAATACCGGCAAATTAAATCACTCTAGGCAGAAGATAGAGACCAGGTTGGAATGGGGGAGTGGAATGAAGCCCCAGCCATTAGGAGCACTTCCTTCTCTTGTGAAGAACCCCAGCTGAATTCCACACCCACACTGGGTGTCTCACAGCTGCCTTCAGTTCCAAGGGATCAGATGCCTCTGACCTTCAGGCGGCAGCCCTCAACCTCTCAAGGGCACATACTCCCACCCAGACACAGACACACACACACACAATCAAAAACAAAATAATCTTAAAAACTCAATATAGATAACAATAAAAAGAAACCAAACTCCAAGAGCTTTTTGTTTGTTTTTTGTTGTTGTTGTTTGATTTTCTTCAGTGAAAAGCTCTGCTAGGTGTGGTGGCTCAAGCCTTTAGTCCCAAGCAGGCGGACCTTTGTGAGATCAAGGCCATCCTGATCTACATAATGAGTTCCAGGCCCAACTGGGGCTACAGGGAGACCCTCTCTCAAAACAAACAAACAAATAGCAAAACCGTAAATAAAATGCTACAAGATGATAAAATATTAACTATGACCAAGAAGGAGAAAAGGGAAAACACAAATAATAAGAAAAAGAAAGCGGCTGTAACCACGGACACAGATACGGTTTGTTTTTATTTAACAGATGACCATAAACTTGGTCCCAGCCAGGGCTGGGTGGGGAGAGTTGGTCACAGAAGACAACACCTCCTAGGCATGATGTCAACACTAAGTGAAAATTCCAGATTTAATCAGCTGGAAAACACGCCTTCACAGAAGACATTTTACAGAAATGATTTTTAAATTCTCTGCCCATTTTTCCTGATGCTTTGCCAGAAATATTTGCATAACATTTTGTTAACCTGAACACCCCCGCATGTGTGTGCAGGACATCCCTGCATTCTGGGAGAGTGGGCGGTTTGGTTTTGCTTCTTTGTTTTAAACTTTGTGGGTTATGTTTTCATATGTGCTCTTCCTGAGCCCCTGTATGTAGAACTTCCTTATTTATTTTTTCCTTATGACCCAGTAGAGTGTTCATTTACATGAGCGCTTTACAATTTATCTAATCAGTCTCCTATTGATTAGAATTTGGGTTGTTTTGAGTTCTTCATCCTGCATTGATGGTCCAGCAAGTATCTTTCTGTGTGGTCACACTGTGTATTCGGTACGTGTCCCTGGAAGTTTCACAGCCTGTGTAGTAATATGCCAAATGTTAGGTTTTTCATCTTGTTCTCCAAAAAGGTTTATCCCTTGCCTCATTTCACCTCAAGATTTTGAAGTATTACTTTCTATAAGTTACTACATTTATATTTAGGTCCATGTTTTAATCCTATATATAGTATTAATTATGAATCTAACTTTATTACCAACTTACCAAGTTTTAGCTAAAATTGATATTGTGATGAGATTTGAATTAACTTCGTGGGTTATTTTAGAAAGACATCTTTCAAAAACTGGATTTTTCCCATATAGAAATGTGGTTTTTCAAAGTTATTGTGGGGACTGGAGAGATGGCTCAGTGGTTAAGAGCACTGGCTGCTCTTATAGAGGACCCAGGTTTAGTTCCTAGGATATGCATGGTGGTTAACTAAAGCAGTCCTTAACTACAGTTTCAGGGGATGTGGTGCCCTCTTATGGCCTCTTCAGGCACTACATGCACATAGTGCACTAACATACTTGCAGGGAAACCACTCGTATGCATAAAGTAATGTAAATAAATAAAATAGTTATTGTGAATTCTTTTAAGATTTATCCCTTATTATGACACAGGTTTTGTATCACTCTTGTGAATGGCATCATCTTTTCCTTTACATTTTCTTGTGGGTTATTGATAGTATAAAATAAAGTGATTAATTAGCCAGGTGTGGTGCATGCCTTTAATCCCAGCTCTGAGGAGGTAGAGGCAAGTAGATTTCTGTGAGTCCAAGGCCAGCCTAGTCTACATAGTAAGTTCCAGGACAGTTGGGGCTACAGGGAGACCCTGTCTCCAAAAGACCAAAAAAATAAAAATGGTGAGTGAAATCTATATTTTAACTTTACTGGATATGTATTAATTTTATATTAATTAACAACCAGAAAGGCAGGATGGGTTTGCTGAAGGAAGAGGTCAATTGCAGTGTGGGCAGAGAAAACTTTGATGTTAATATCTTAAGTTAATGTGAATGAATTGTGTACTTTAGTTAGAATACTAATTATTAAGATTCTCATTATTACTGAAGCAGCTTCTAATCTGAATTGTGATT